CTTATGGAGGCAGAAAAACGCTCCTGACCTATAGATACAGAAACCCTGAGACAGACAAAATGGAGACCTTATAGGTTCATTTGAAAATCGCAGCTGGGGCCTCCCTGGCGGCACAAGGGGTTTAGCTTCAGCACGATGAAGCAGTCTGCAGCACGAGTTCAATCCCTGACCCAGGAGGTGACCCACATGGCACAGCAGACCTCTCCTGTCTCACCCGCTGCTTCCCTCAGCAGTGTATTTCAGTCAGTCTGCCTGTTCTGTTCACTCTGGTGAATCCTCTCACCCCCCACATCTCTGGCCTGTACCCCAGCTCTTGTATGCATAAATAAATCAATCTTTAAAAAAAAAGAAAAAATTGAGCTAGGAGACAGGTACGATGCTACAAGTCTCACTGGTTCAGAACCCCCTGAGCCCCCTCTGAGGGACAGCCAGGCAGTGGCAGACAAGACTGAGGAAATCCTCCTGTTGGGCAGTGGTCATTTCTCGGGCTCTGCCCCACTCTTGTACCAGGACGTGATGGGGCCCGTGTCTGCTGCTCCCTGAAGAGGCCAGCAATGCCATCTGAACGGCCTCCCGACTGCAGGCCCCACTCCAGTAGGCCAGATGGGACTTCCTGACTAGTGTCATCTCCAGGGTGTTGACATAACGGCCCCATTTGTTGGTGCTGGAGCCGCCGAGTTGGGTGGCCGGTCCGGGCGCCGGTGCACTGGACGGTATCCTGCAGCCCCAGTGTTGGTTAAGCAGGAACCTGCCTCTCAAAAAACAGTTCTTCCCTGTGCCACGCTGGGCTCTGCCCTGTCCAAGGCCAGCGGGCTCTGCTGTTTGATCCTCTTAGGCAGGCGGGGCTCTGTGGGGTCACCATCAACCCCCTCCTACCCACCCCCCCGCCCTAGCTGCCTGGCCCAGGCCACACCAGGTGCTGGAGGTGCTGAGCTCTGCCACGAATATGCTTCTCTAAAGGAAAACAAAGATTCTCACTAGTTTAGAAAAGAACAGTTGGATCCAGTTTGTATTTCTGGCAGATGGAACACGTGACAGTTAGCTGCTCAGGTGGCTAACGATTTTCCTAAAGTTTGTGGAGATTTTAAGGATTTTTTTTCATTTGCCAGTTTGTTTCCAAATCGTTCCCTGTTATTTTTTTTTTTTTTCCCCTCAGTTGAAAGTTACCTCTCTGGAAGTTTGTGTTTCAGAGGGACAACTCCCAGATCTGGCTAAGATGGGGGTCAAAGATTTACATCTGCAAGTCACCGAGAAAGAATGGAAGTTTTTTCCAAGGAGTTTTGGGGCATATTTATTATCAGAGATCTAGGATAATCTTTCTTTTCTTTTTTTTCCTTAAGAGTAGGACAGGCCAGTGAACTACTCCCAAATATGGGAGGCCTGGAGCTGAGAAGTTTGATTTGAGGGTCTCAGGAAGTAGGAGGAACTGTGACACGGTCCAGCAAAGCAAGACTGACCCATGCAACCTGCACCTCCTGAACCCTAAAAGCACCCGAGTGTGTTCTGTGCAGGGAGAGGGGTGTTAGAGCAGGCAGCTGGCCATTCAGGGGTTAAAGGAATTTGCTGAGAGAGAAGACTGGATTTTGAGGAGTGTGCTTAAGCTCGCTCCTAGGGAGCAGGGAATGGGGTAGTACAGGATGCGGACTGAGAAGGGCATCTTACTTCGGTTTTCTTTCTGTCTTTTGAAGGGAGAGTCTGGGAGGGACTTGCCATTTCTTTGTCCTCTTTTTTACCTGGTCTTCTTATAGGTCCCCGCCGAGAGGACATTTGTTTGGGGTGAGAGATCTCTATAAAAATTCTTTTCAGGGCCTCCCCGGTGGCGCAGCGGTTGAGCGCTGGGTTCCTCTGCAGCGCCGGTTCAATCCCCGGCTGCTCCCAGGCCACTGGAGGAGGGTCCCACATGGCTCACAGACCTCTCCTGCCGCCCGCTGCTCCCCTCAGCAGTGTATTTCATCGGTCTGTCTGTTCTGTTCCCTGCTCTGGCTCTGGTGAATTCTCTCACCCTCCCGCGCTTCTGACTGTACCCAGTGCTGTATAAACAAACAAACAAACAAATAGAAAGGTAAATTAAAAAAAAAAATTCCTTTCAATATAAAAGTCCAAATCATTACTGACACCCCTTTAAATGTGATTCAATCAAACAGTCTTTTTATACTTTCAAATCAATGAGCCTTTTATGGCTAAACCATGGATGCCAGCGGCACCCCCAAAGAGAGTGCAAAAGAGGCTGTCGTGTCAAGATTCAGACTTGCCCAAAGATAGCTTCAGAAAGCAGACTTCTGTTGATAGAGATGGTAAAAACCCAACCCAGCCCAACTCACTAGTCTGCACCAGACAGCTGGTCCTGGAAATGTCCCCAGCAAACAAGACGAGGGGTGACAGCCAAGGCCTCTTTGGGTCTCCTATGAAAATGACACAAAATGCAGAGACCAGGAAAGCCATGACTGTTCCTGGGAGGCTAGGGACCCATAACCAATGGGCACTCCAGGCCAAAGCTGCAAGTCACATTTTAAAGAATTCATTTTTATAAATGTTTTTCTCCAGCCAGTCTGGACTTGGAAAGGAAGGGACAGGAGAAAGCTTTGCCTTCCTCTCGCTCTAGGCGCTGTCTAGATCCAGGAGGGCTGGCTTCACCAAGAAGCCTCACCTTCAGCCAGCTTTGGTGCGGACTCCCATGGCCCAGCGCCAGGCTCTGGAGCAAGTAAGGCATCTCAGCACTTTAGGGTGTCTTCATGGCCACCAGAGAGTGTTAGCTGAGGCTGAACGGCTGGTAGATGTTTAATAGGGATGTTTGTTTTGTTTTGAACAGAAGGTAAAGCATGTGAGAGATTAGGACTGGCCAGAGTCCCAAAGGTCTTCTGGGTCATGTGTGCACATTACCTGACTCAGGTCTGTATTTCAGCATTATTTACACCCCAAGGGTTGTAAAACCAGACTCAAAGAACACCCTTGGCATTGCCCATAATTGCATGGCTGAGAATTATGACGAAGTCAACCAGAGTGATAACAGTCCTGGTGAGAAACAGTGGAGCAGCAGGAACCTCCACATATCTGGGGAGACCAATCAGTGTCTTTAAGATGAAGGCTAGGTCTCCCCAAGATGCCCAGAACAGGCCTCCCCACTTTAGCATGTGCATTATTTCAAAATGTAGTCTATAGAGGTCCCGCTGTCCCATCTAATCCGTCACCAAGTCCTCTCAGCCTCCCCTTCCACAACCTCTCAAATGCATAATGCGGATAACCAATGAATGGAATGGGATACAGAGAGGTTCATTCTTTTGTTCTCTCAACCTGTGTGTGAGTCTCAGTGTTTCTAAAACAGAAAGTGAAATTTAACAAGAGATAAAAGTTCTCAAATGGGTCCGCTCTCCTTTGTTACACCCTGAGTCCAGACTGACACCATCTCTTGCTGGGATGACATGACCGCTTTGAGGTCTCTGCCTCCTGCCCTTGGCCCCTCAGCGCCCAGCCTCCATCTGCTCCTATCAGCACCCAGATTGGTGACTCTCGCCTCAGCTGTGAATGTGCACGGAAGCAGGCTCTCCTTCTCCTAGACAATGGCTTAAACTGCTTTGAGTTTTATTTTAATTTATACATTTTCTTTTTAAGATTTATTTATTTAGGGGCCTCTCTGCTGGCGCAAGGAGTTAAGACGCAACCTATCAAGCTATCCGCTGCCATTGGAGTGTGGGTTCGATCCCTGGCCAGGGAGCTACCCACATGGTGCAGCAGACCTCTCCTGTGGCCTGTACTCCAGTTCTTGTATGCATAAATAAATAAATCTTTAAAAATAAAGATTTGTTTATTTATACAATAGCTGGGGTACAGGCCAGAGGCACGGGAGGGTGAGAAGATTCACCAGAGACAGAGCGGGCAGCAGAACAGGCAGACTGACTGAAATACAGTGCTGAGGGGAGCAGCAGGCAAGACAGGAGAGGTCTGCTGCACCATGTGGGTAGCTCCCTGGCTGGCCGGGAATCGAACCAGGGCTGCAGAGGCTGAGGACAGCTCCATAGTACAGCGCTCAACCACCTGCCCCACAGGGGAGGCCCTACATTTTTTAAAATGAAAGTACCATTGTTTTATTCCCTTGTTAGTGTTTTTACAGTATAGGGTTTCTCCCCTCAGATGTAGTCACCTTAGGGCTCCCACCACCATGGCACCCATCGTCCTCCACCATAGTCCACTCTGCTCTCCTCCCCCTTCTCACTGCTCCCCCTCCTCCCCTGGATGCCTCAGACCTAGGGTCAGATTTCAAGGGGTGGCTTTAAAGTTTGTCTTCGACCCTTTGTTTGGGTTCTCTATATCCACATGTAAGTAACATTAATAGGTATATATTTTTCTCCTTCTGGCTTATTTTATTTAACATAATCCCTTTTTTAAAACACCATTTAACACCATCCATCTTGCTGCAAATGGCTTGAGTTTATCTTTTTGATCGCTGTGTAGTATTCCATTGTAGACATAGTCCAGGTCTTCTTGATCCACCCATGTGTTTTGGGTCACTTAGGTGGTTTCCATATCTTGGCTGTTGTAAACAGTACTTCAGTGAACCTAGGAGACCTGAGGCACCATGAGGCATCTGCTAGGCATGCTTTATCCTGGGCTGGGGGCCAGGATCCAGGTTCAAGACTCAGCACCGCCACCAGCCAGGTGGGAGGACAAGAACAAAATGCACCAACATGCTACCAGTCCTTGGTCAGGGTTGTCATTTGCAAAGGGATTGGAAGAACAGTTTCATCTTGTTTGAACCTCAAAACAGCCCTCGCAGGAGGAAGGGTGTTTTTTAAGGTTGTCTCACCCGGTGCGTTCTTGGCATGGTACAAAATGAGCACCTTGCCTCCAACCCCTCCCCAGAGAAGACTGACACACGTCTGGCTCAAGCAAATTACTGACCCCCTCTCCACTGACTCATCCGACTGCAACACGCATACATGCCAAGGCCAACAGAGGCGGAGACACCTTATAGGAAGAAGGAAAGCAGACACATATTTCAGCATATAAGGGTGTCATTTTAAAGGCCTGTATTTTCAAACAAGGCAACAAAAAGGACAGATTCTTTGGATGACCAGCCCAAAATTTACAGGGGTGAATCGACCTGCCCAGCACCATCCTTAGCAGTCACCCTAAAGTAAATACCCCCGCAGCCTCCAATGTCATCTGCCAGGAGCCGTGAAAGAGCGTTTCTGATGGAGTCTTTGCAGTGGCCGGTCAAGGGACAGCTTTTCCTCTGCACAGATGAGAAAACAGGCCCAGAGAGGGGTGGACCCCGGCTTGCTGGACGCTGAGGCCCACGTCCCTGTGACCCCCTAGCTGCCCCAGGTCGTTTCCCAGCTGGTGTCAGAGGTGACTTGGGTACCTGCCCAGGGGCCTTTCCAGAGTGCCTGCTGTGCCAAGGGCTTTCTCAGCACCATGACAATCGGCTGGCAAAATCCAGTGGTGGGAGATACTTCAGCCTTGACACTGAGACATTGTAGGGATGGGAAAGATTTCGGGGGGAACCCCAGAGGCTAGAAGGACACAAACCATTAAAAAATGGGCAAGGAAAAATAATCTATAGTGTCTAGTGGTGCACACCTGGGTGATAAAACTAGAAAACGTTCCATTTTGTGATTCCTATGAATGTCAGAAGAGGGGCAACAGTTTGGGGGCAAGACCTGGGTTTGGGGGCACACAGAAGAGGCATGGGGAGTGGCTGATAAAGCTGTGCTCTTAGATCTGGGTAGTGGTTATAGAGTTGCTCCATTTATAATAATTTATTAAAGCCATACATCTGTTGTGTGTGGTTTTGTGTACCCATGTTTTATTTTATTTTAAAATTTACTGTTATGGGTATACTTGTGTTTTGTTAGACAACAAAATAATTTTTGAAAGTTGACCCCGGGGCTAGTCCCAGGCCCCACACAAATAAGGCCACCGGCCCAGTGTCCAGTCCCTCAGCCGTCATGGTCATTCAGGAACTTCCTAAGATAAGCTCAGGCCCGCACAGACGCAGGTAAGCCTGAGTGTGTGTGTGAGAGCATGTGTATGTGTGTGCCTTCGGAACACACACCCCTCCTCACCTCTCAGACTACACCTTCCAGGGCAAATGAAAGCCTCTCACCTCTCAAGTCCATTTTCTTCCATGGCTACTTTCAGTCTTCATAAGGAGGCTGAGAAAATCAAGCCGAGGCGGGATTCTACTTACCAGATGGACCCTCCTCGCGTCCACAGGTGGACTCAGCCACCTGATGACCAGGTAAGTCCCGCGTTCTTACCACCTTCTAACCTTCCTCTGTTTTTTTCTTTCTATATTTTCACTTTTTGCTTTCACACTAAGTTTTGCTCCTTTCTGTGTTTGGAAAGAAAGTGGGGGGAGGGGTGCCCACAAAAGAAAGCAAAAAGAAATGGAAAATTGAGAGACTCCTGTTGCTCTGCCCAGCACAGCCTGCCTGCTTGGCAGTGCCCGCCGCCAAGTCCGGAAGGAGCAGGAAGCCCATGGGCCTTGTCGTCTTCCCTCAGGGGGCAGGGGTGGGGGCAGGGGTCATCCTGTTGCTGGCGGGGAGGGGTCCCGTGTGCCTAGTGGTGTGTTTATCGAGTCTCTTCTCTCCAGCAAAGGGAGAAGAACTGGTCTCAAAGGGGCAGGAGGATCCAGGGACACCTGGACGGGAAAATAAAGTGGAAAAACCCACAGCCAAAACGGGAAAGACAAACAGGTGTGGCCTTAGGAGAAGAGAGAAGAGTGTCCACATTCCCCAATATGGCTGACAGCCCAACCTCGGACTCAGGGCGTTTCTCCCCCGGGGGAGTGCCAGGCTGGAGGACAGTTTTGTGTCTAGCATCAGTTTTCGCTGACTAACCAACTGAGATCCTTGCTTTTTTCCTCGAGCTTCCTTCCATTCTGCTTTCTTTTCCCATCTCCCCCTTGATCATCTCCTCCTCCGGGCTCGGCTGAGTACCCACCCCTGGAGCAAATGTGGGGCTCAGAGCAGAGGCGTCAACCTCCGGTGTCTCACCAGCCCCCCATCAGCCCCCTTCCAACCTCCCCTTTAGCCCCCCTCCAGCCCCAGGTCGCTTTGATCATCCTGAAATTCCTGTCAGAGACAAGGAGTCGAGCTCAGAGGGGCAGAGGTAGCAGGGCTGGGCTTGAGGAGCGGACAGGGCAAGATGAGATCCAGCCCATGTCCACTCAGGGCCTAAGAGGCAGCAGGTCTAACCTGAGGCCGGCGCTGCGGGTGCCTCACACCCCTCGGGGCAACGTGTGCCTGCACCTGAGCCTGCTGCCCCCGAGGCTCTGCACAACAGGGTGAACCGTGGAGCCTCGGCCTGCAGTCACGGCTGGCCAGGCAGCTCGCTCAGCTGCGGGCCAACGGCCAGGCCAGAGGAGTTCAAAGGAGGGGTAGTAGGGGGAGCACACCCGCACAGCTGGAGGGTAAGCACAACCCAAATGTGGCTCTCACGGGTGGGGTGGGGGGCGAAGTCTGAAATGAAGCTGCTGGCGTGGCCTGCTCCCTCCAAGGGCTCCCTCCCGGCATCTGCCCTTACTTCTCGGCCCCAGGTGACGGGGACCCCTGCAACCCCTGCCTGTCTCCACAGGCCTCCCTGGGTGGCCTCTTCTCTTCTGCCAGCTCTTGTCCTTGGACTTAGCGCTCCTCTGGGTCACCTGGATGATCCCGCCTCAAGCTCCTTCATCGAATTTCATCTGCCAAGGCTGTTTTCCCAAACAAAGGTCCCAGTCACAGGCCCGTGGAGGTAGCTCCTCAGGCACTGCATTCACCCCTCCCAGAGGCAGCCCCTGGGTTTGGAAAAGGCGCTTTAGGTCTTGACTCAGTAATGCTTGTGCTCCTACTGTGTGCCAGGCCCTAGATAGGGCGCCGGGGATACAGCAGTGGGGCTCTGGCTGCCCTGGAGTTCTTATTCTCAGGGCAGGAGGTAGGTGATACATCTCTGGGCAAATAAACAAGAAAAGCTCGAGAACAGTAAGGGCCCTGAGAGAATGCAGCAGGGACATATGGCAGAGTGACAGGGGGGCTGCCTGTGACTTAGAAGGGCCTTTCTGCCGAGGTGGCCAGAAGCTGAGGGCTAAGTGGCAGGAAGAAGCCCTCAAGCAGAGACCTGGCAGCAAGAGCGAAGGCCCTGAGGTGGAGAACTGAGCAGACCAAGGAACAGACAGAGGACCACAGCGGCAGGAACACAGAACAACAGAGAAAGTGAGGGAGGATGCAAGTGGAGACCCATCTCGTGGGGTGAGAGCCAGGTGGGGAGCTCGGGTTTTACTCTCAGAGCCAGGGGATCCATTTGGTTTCAAGTAAGGGAGTACTGTGATCTGGCTTTTGGGGGGTGCTGCAGAAGGGCAAGAGTCCATCAGGAGCTGGATTAGGGTTAGGAGGTCACTGCTATGACCCTCACAGGGGGTGATGGTGGCTTGGACCAGGATGTGGCCATGGAGCTGGAAAGGGCTGAGTCCCAAACATCCTGTTAGGGGGAAAGAGAATCAAAGATGGGCCTTGGGTTTTAGAAGCAAGCAATTGAGTTTCTGTTTTGCTTTTGTTTTTAAATTGTAGTGAACTACACCCAATATACAAATTGTCATTTTAACCATTTCAAACAATTCAGTAACATTAGGTGCTTTCACATTGTTGCTAGGCCATCCCTACTGCCTACATCCAGAACTTTTTGGGATTTAAATTCTGGGCACTGGACAATCTGAGCGTTCATCAGAGTCTGTGGAGGAAGAGGCAGGGACAGTTTGTCGACTCTACATACAAAGACCAGTCCTAAATGGCCTCCCGTTTCCACCTATTGTTTTCAGGCGGCTCCTGGGCACTGGAATGTGACATCATGTTTTCGTTTTCTTCTGATTTTGCTTCAGCAGAGCACAGGGAAAACCCTGGGCATGGTGCTGATTAATAACTTCCCCTTGACCTTTATGGGGATGGACCCTCACACTCTGCCTTTCCTGAGCAAGCGCAGGAAGGTTGAGTGGGCCTGTCCTTTTGACATTGGCCTGAAGCTTCACTCCCTCCCTCCACTGGGGAAATCAGATACAGACAGGCCGCTGAGGGACAGAAAAAGAGCTGATGAATGCAGCTGAAACCTTAGAGGAAGTAGGACAGGGCCACGGAGCCCAGCAGAGAGAGAGGGAGGGGTGGGGGTCAAGGGCATCCTCAGCTGACTTTAGAGAAGTCTCTAGTGGCTCAAACCAACCAATCACAAAGGCACCTACGGAGAACTCGGCAGTGTTGAAATGTAGCTCCAGGATGCTACCCCTTCATCCCATCCCCCAAGACTGGGATCCACGGACTTCTGTGGGTAACCAGTAGCAATTACTTCTAGAGGTTAACTCAGAATCAAGACAGTACAGATCTCTATTTTCTAGGTGGTTTGCATTTTCATAACCTTCCAGGTAGGAGTTTAATGGGGTATGTAGATGCCGGGAGAGGAGCAGCCATATAGGTAAGCTAGCAAACTAGTTAAGAGACTGGCCCAGGAGAAAGCTAACCAATTACCTTACTCTCTGACTGCTCCAGGAAACGGGATGTTGTGTGGACACACCTGCTGGGTAAACACTTAGGAGTGTCATTGCTGTACTATTGTAAGTATGTGATGAACTTTATGAGAAACTGTCAAAACATTTTCTAAAGTGGTTGTGTCCTTTTGCATTCCCACCAGCACGGTAGGAATATTCCAGCTGTTTCACGTCCTCGCCAACACTTGGTATTCTTACTTGCTAATGAGTGCCTGTTCAGTTGTAACTAGAATAGAAAGTTTCAACCGAGAGGCTGTGTCTGTGGCTGCCAGTTTTGTGAACCCCTTCACCTTGTCAGGTTCTGTGCATCAAAAACCAGTGTTTTCCTGTTTCATTCTGTTCCTCCACTTGGAATTTCTTCCAAGTGGAACCACAATACCAGGCTCAGCTTCTGGGCCAAGTGTCACCTTCTTCATGGACCTTTCCCTGGAGCTGCCACCTCCCTCTCTCTGCTCAGGGGCCCTGGTGTCTTGCCCAGGTGAGACCCCAAGCTGGCGTCTGTGGACATGGGTGGACGTGTGTGCGAGTCTTGGCTCCTCTGTAAGCTCACTGGCAGCAAGGCCATAGCCCCTGTCTCTCTGCATCTCCCCAGCGCACCCACATGTCATTCCTTGGAGCTGGACAAGCACAGGGGCCTTGTTTTAAAGGCAGGAGCTTGGCTATAACACAAGCAGGTTAACTCACCGGTACCATTTTATTACTCGCTTTGGTGTGCTGTCCTCTGAAGCGAAGCAGGTAGTGGTGGCTGATAGGATCAGTTTGGAAGTTTTGTATGCCCAATGGGAGGGCACCGGGGTGGCTGTTCTGTGCTGCAAGATGAACGCCCGTGAGCTCACAGTAAGCTCAACTCACGTTGCCCAGGAGACGAGCAAAGCAATGGTCAATTCCCCAGTGAAGCGCAAAGGGCTTGGTTAAGCCCTAAGATCAGAATCTTAGTAAACCACTTGGGAAATATTTTAGATTAATGGAATATGTATTTTGAATTTTTTTTTAATACAAGAACTGGGGTACAGACCAGAGGCGCAGGAGGGTGAGAGGACTCACCAGAGACAGAGTGGGGAACAGAAGAGGCAGACTGACAAAATACGCTGCTGAGGGGAGCAGCGGGTGTGACAGGAGAGTTCTGCGGCACAATGTGGGAATCTTCCTAGCCAGCCGGGAATTGAACCCATGCTGCAGAGGCTGAGGACAGCCCCACAGCGCTGTCTGGGGAGGCCCTGTATTTTGAATGTATTTAATGTACTTAAAGCGGTAAGTACAGGATCTGACAAACCACCTCTGAATGCAACCCACCTGCTTGGGAACCTGGGAACCCCAGACAAGCACAGGGGCCTTCGTCTGCCTGACTTTAGCAAATTACAAGCCAAGTTCAATGCATTTCAGTGCCCTTGTCTGTAAAATGGGATAATATCTACTTTATAGAGTGGTGAGGATGACATGTGCTCACCTGCCTGGTCATGTGCTTAGAATAGTAACTCCATTATTACCCACTCAACAAAGGCCACTTCCTTCTATATTAATTTATTAAGCAATAAAAGCAATATATTAAGTATGATGCCAATGTTGTAAAGGTGTGCCTTTATGAGCACACTCCATGTTGGTAGAGAAAAATTTAGAAGTTCGTACACCCAAATTTAGATCTAATGGACACCTAACTTTCTAGAATGTGCATATATTAGTGATGTGATACAGCAAAAATACTTAGGCCTATACTGTGCAATCCAGAAGCCACTGGCCACATATTGTTACTTAAGTTGAAAAGAACTGAAATGAAATAAAATGTAAGATTCGGCTATGGTGTCACATTAGCCACAGCTCTAGTGCTAGTGGCTACCTAGTAGACATTGGGGAACTGTCCATCTGGCAGAACTTTCTAGTGGACAGCCTTGTTTAGAGGGCCTGGGAATGTGACTTTAGTGACCTTTTCCTTCCTGAGCTGTAAAATGGGAAGATTTTCTGCTGACTTGTTGAAATCAGTTATCCCATTTTATAGATGAGAGCACTGAAACGCATCCAACTTGTAATTTGCTAGTCAGGCAGAGGCCATGGGGGACTGGGGTTCCCAGATTCCAAACAGGTGGGCTGCCTTCCCTATCTAAGAGATAGGGAAGCCATGTGCTATCACTTTTCACCAGGCACCAACCTAGCCACATCAGATTTGGGGAGGTAGTAATGGGGGGAGAGCCTTGCTTATCTCCTTTTTTTCTTGCAAATTGTTTTTTAATATATGGTCGTTCCTCAAAAGACGAAAACTGCACTTAATCCAGCAGCAGTTCTGGCTTATGAGCATCCTTGGTTTCAGAAAGAACGAGGCTCAAATTAATTTTCCGTATTCCCACCAACAGAAGAATCACCGTCGCCACCTCAGACGCACTTCCCAAAGCTCTATTCAAATCGAAAATCAGCTGCATTTCAGGGGCTCCGCAAACCACTGCTACATCAAGGCGCGGGCATCGGGCACTCGTCCTGGGACAGCAGGTTCCCCGGGGCCCTCCTGCTGGAAGAACCTCTCGGAGGTGCTGCGCTGTCCTCTTGCGCCCCCGACAGGTCACTTAGGGTTTAGCACACCAGCGCAGTCAAACCCCACGAAGTTTGCTGCTCGGGATAGACCTCTCCTCTCTCCCTCCTCCTCGCCCCCTCCCCTTTTCCACCCCTCCCTCTGCCCCCCACCTCTCTTCCCTCCTACCCCAATCCTTCCTTCCCTCCCTCTCTGCCATTTCTATGAAAAACCAGGCTAATCAGATGAGTTTCACACTGATGAGTACATTGTGGTTCTAAAGGATTAGCCTCCCCAAAATGCTACAGCTAAATTTACATTTTTCAATCATTTTTTATAGTATTTCAGAACATACAAAAACATACACATATTGATAGAACATTCCTGTGCTCACCACTCAGCTGGACACCTTATGTATTCCAGATTCATTTGAAGCCCCAATTTCCTTTCTCAGAGGGAAATCAAACCAAGGGGGGTGTTTGGCAGCTCCGTGTGTGTTCACACCTGGACAGCACACACTTATTGATTTGCTTTTCAAGTATTTTCCAAAAAATTGGTATCCTATTGTATGATTTGAAGGTCTTGGTCAACATTGTGTTAAGGATTATTCGTGTTAACATGGACATATAGGTATTAACATATTACTCTTTTTTTTTTTTTTACAAGGAATGCTTCTAATTTTATTTTTTTAATAAATTTTATTTTTATATTCCCCATACAATTGCAACCCCCTTATTTTGACCCCAATTCCTCCCCTCCCATAGTGTGTCTCTGGTTCATAGTATCTTGTTGATTTTGATTTTCACTTTCCTATAGTTATTCATTCTCCTGGTCCCTTATTTAAGTTTTCCAGATTCCTGCTATGAGTGAGACCATCCGGTATTTTTCTTTTTCTTTCTGGCTTATTTCGCTGAGCATGATCCCCTCCAGCGCCATCCATGTTGCTGCAAATTGCATGTGTTTATCTTTTTAGAAAGCTGAGTAATATTCCGTGGTGTACATGTACCACATCTTCTTGATCCAGTCATCTATTTTTGGGCATTTGGGTTGTTTCCAAAGCTTAGCTATTGTAAACAGTGCTGCTATAAACATAGGGGTGCAGGTGCTCTTTGGAATTGATGTTTCTGTGTCCTTTGGGTAAATACCTAGGAGTGGAATGGCTGGATCATATGGAAGCTCTATGTTTAGTAGGTCCAGAAATCTCCACACAGCTCTCCATAGTGGTTGGACCAGTTTGCACTCCCACCAACAGTGCAGGAGAGTTCCTTTTTCTCCACAACCTCGCCAACATTTGTTGTTGCTAGTTTTTTAAATATGTGCCATTCTCACTGGTGTAAGATGATAGTTTTGATTTGCATTTCTCTGATTACAAGTGATGTTGAACATTTTTTCATATGCCTGTTGGCCATTTGCATTTCCTCTTCAGAGAAGTTTCTTTTTAGCTCTTCTGCCCATTTTTTGACAGGATTATTTTCTTTGTTGTTGAGTCTCATCAGCTCTTTGCAGATTTTTGTGATCAGTCCCTTATCATTAGTGTTGTGTGCAAAAATAACATATTACTCTTATGTATATATGTGAATAGATAAATATTTTTCACTGCTGAAAAAGTATATAACTCCCCATTGTCTATCTGTTCTCCTTTAATAATAAGGAAATGGTAATTACATAGCTCATTTCTTTCTTATTGAGACATTTGAATTCTTTTTTATTGATAAATTCTGAACACAAATGCTTTGGTATGATTCACAAAATGCTTCTACCCAGTGACCTACCTTTTGCTTTGTTGATGGTGTCTATTGAGATGCAAGATTTTTAGATTTCAAAGCCAAATATATCCATCTGTTCTTTTATGGTTTATGCCTTTTGAGCTTATGAAAGTCTTCTGTATTCCAAGGTTATAACATAGTTGTCTGTATTTTTTCTTTTTAAGATTTATTTATGCATAGAAGAACTGGGGTACAGGTCAGAGGTGCGGGTGGTGAGAGGATTCACCAGAGACAGAGTGGGAAGCAGAACAGGCAGATCTACTGAAATACACTACTGAGAGGAGCAGCAGGGAGATAGGAGAGGTCTGCGGCGGCCATGTGAGTCAGTTTCCTGGTGGGGGATGGAACTTGTGCCCCTGCACTACCAGGGAGGCCCTTGTCTGTATTTTCAAAACAACCTTAAAGACTAGCTTTTTTACATTTTCATTCTTGATTCCCTGTGGTTGCATTTCTGCATTTATTCAGTGTCACAAGGTGATATCTCATTATGTGTATGTGTGAATTTCTCTGGCAAGGAGCACATTTAAAGTAGCCTTGGGAGCTTTTACAAGACAGGTTTCTGGACCTTGTCCCAGAAATGATGAAATCTTAATCTCTGAGGGAGCTGAGACATCAGGATGTTAGGAATACAACTCCCCCGGGTGGTTCTCATGTGCAGCCTGGCTGAGACACTCTGGTGCAAGCTCAAATGAGCGGCAGGTCCTGGTGTCTGTTATTCCCTCGGCTCTACAGGAATGGTCAGTCCTCCGCAGAATAAGTGTAAGTATTCACTCGCCTTCCAACAGGAGAGGTCCAGTTGCCTCACATCTTTGCAAACACATGGGCATTATTATCTGAGATAAGTGATAAAGGGCTGGGGGTGGGGGTTGCTTAGGTGATTGAGGGATTTGCTTACAAATCAGCCATGGAGAGCTGCTGTGCTCTCCGCCATCTTTGATCTCCAGTCCTCCCCTATACACATCACCTCTGGCAAATGTGCCTCATAGCCGGCATGCCTGGACTAGCATGCCTGGACCAAAGGCCGTCCTCAGCCTGAAGAGAAGGATTCACCATACAACTGTTGACCCCCACTTTCCACCCGGGTCACCAGGATCCGAGAGGATAACCTGGTCACCTCACCTTCCGGTGCCCGGACCCTCTCGTGTACCTGGGAAGCATTTTGTTGGCCCGCCAGAAAGTCACCATAATAGAAGCAGCAAACAAAAGAACATAGAAAAACTAGTGCTCAGCTTCACTGGTAACCAAAGAAATACAGATTAAACATGAATTATTATTTTTATCTACTTGCTAAAGATTTCGAAACATAACAGTGGGCAGCACAGGCAAGGGCACAGCAAGTGGGCACTTTCACAGCCTTCCAGAGGCTGTATTTGTTGACAACAACAAACACAAAACCTCCTTGTCCTCAAAGTGGACAAGGGAATAGCTGACGAAAATGAGCCACCCACAGAGAATTCCACAGCCAGCAGAGTGAGGCTCACCGAGTGGTGACAAGGCCAGAAATACACTGGCAAATGCCACAGGGAAACACAAGTGGTTAGGGAGCCATGACCCTAAAACAGCACATAGGATGATGAAAAGGAAGAAATATCACCATGGTGTGACCAGGGGGGCAGATTATGGTGATCTCTTTTTCTTTCTATATCTCCCAAATTTTATATAATGGGGATGCATTATTTAAATATTTTCTTTTTTCTTTTTTTTAAGATTTATTTATTTATTTATACAAGCACTGGGTACAGTCAGAAGCGCGGGAGGGTGAGAGAATTCACCAGAGCCAGAGCAGGGAGCAGAGCAGGCAGAAAGACCGAAGTACACTAAGTACACTAAGGGGAGCAGCGGGTGGCAGGAGAGGTCTGTGCGCCATGTGGGACCCTCCTCCGGTGGCCGGGGAGCAGCCGGGGATCGAACTGGCGCTGCAGAGGCCACGGGCAGCTTCGCAACCCAGCGCTCAACTGCTGCGCCACCAGGGAGGCCCAATTTAAATATTTTCTTTTTGTTTATTTTTGAAAACATAATTATATGTGAAAAATCAAACATCACAGCTCTTAAAGTGACAAAAGTTTAAGTTTCAAGGACAGAATTTTCCATCGCATTCTCCTGAGGTATTCTAGAACATTCCTCAGAGCCTGACAGCCTATTTTAGTGAAAAAGGGTTTGCCAGTAATAGATTCTCATCTTTGGGAAAAACATACTAAGCCACCAGAATTTAATATAATAGCAGAGACTGTCATCATAGATAAGATTTCTTCTTATTTCTGTGTCTTTTTCTTTTTCAATTCACCTAGAATGTTTTTTTTTTAAGCTTTCCTGAAGAAATGAGATCTGTGGGCATAACCTCTAGTTCAGGAGAGATGTTATGACAAGAACCTCTCCAGTTGCAAGCAGTTCTGGTTTCCTGTTTCCGGTGAGGTAAAAATCCCTCTGAACTCTTCAGTGTCCCCAGCTCACATGTGGCTAAGAAGTGTTCGAATGTACCTGTCCATATGAAGCAGCCTCCACTGATTTTTTTCATAGCTTTTTTTTAATTAAAAATGTTTTTCTTACATTGTTATTCATTTTTTGTACAAAAAAAATGAATAAATCCCAATAAATCTTCCACCACCTTGTCACCCATGAACCGTCACCAGAGTTCCCTACTTTTTTGCTTTCTGTGTGTTTTTTATTAACTGACAGCGCATGAGGTTAGGCACTCTGCTCAAAGAATGGTGGATCCAAACGCTGATGGTTACTGCCCCCAAGTGGTCACTGCATGGGCTCATTAATGAATCCTTAAACATGACCCCAAAACCAAACCAGAACCTTAACTCCATTCACAACAATTAATTCAAAATGGATTAAAGATTTGGATATAAAAGCCGAAGCCATAAAACACTTAAAAGAAAACATAGATGGTACATTACTGGACATCAACACATCTTTTGGGGACGCATCTCCAATGGTAAGAGAGACAAAAATAAACACTTTGTACTACAGCAAAGGAAAGAGCTTCTGTACCTCAAAGGAAACCATCACAAAAACAAAAAGGCAACCTGTAGACTGGGAGAAGATATTTTCCCATCACACATCTGACAAGGGGTTAATTTCCAAAGTATATAAAGTACTCATACAACTTAACAACAACCAAAAAAACCCATTTGAAAAATGGACAAAAATCTAAACAGACGCTTTTCCAAAGAAGACATTCAGAGGGTTCACAGGCACATGAAAAAAAGTTCAATATCACTTATTATAAGGGAAATGCAAATCAAACCCCAAGGCGGTATCACCTCACCCCTCTGAGAATGGTACAGACCAAAAAGACTGGAAAGAGCAAATGTTGGCAAGGATGTGGAAAAAAAAGAACACTTGTCCACTGGAAGCTTGATCCCAGTTCTTTATTATTTTAGCTATGTTACCTTGACAGTTCACTAAACTCTTCATTCTTCAATTAGAGATAAAACTTTATAGCTTATTGTGAGGAGATAAGGCACTGAACGGTGCCCAGAACAAGGTCTGTTGCTGCTTGGCACTGAGGAAGTGCTAGCCTGGAGACAGGATTCAGGCCCTTCTCTCCTGGTTGCTCCTCCCTTGGTGGATGCCACCTCAGTGATGGGGGGGGACACAGGTCTCTGGAGCTGTGCAGAGCAGATCAAGTCTTCTCTCCTGGTTCCAGCACTTTCTTCCATGTTCACCCCTCTAAGTTTGCTTTCACATCATTAGCTGCCTTGACATTCATTTGGGGGTTGAAACTCTTTGTAGAAGATTAAAGAGAGACTTGAGGGTCAGCACAGAATCTGGGGTGGGGAGGAGCATAGTTATTGTTCCCTTGCGAAAGGAGACAGAGGAACTAGATTAGAAATGAGGACATGCCACAAGAGGGGAAGGTTTATGTTAGAATCAAGCAATGCCACAGACCCCTAGGAGCTGAAAAAAAAATTGTGGTCAAAATCACATGCAATTTACCATCTTTACTACTTTTGAGTGCATAGCATGTTGACTATGAGCAGAAGATATCTTTAAAACATTTTCACTTTGCAAAATCAAAACAATCCTCTTTCCCAGTCTCGCTAGCCCCTGGCAACTGCCATGCACTGTTTCTACGGTTTCATCACCGTAGATACCCCATATATAAGCCGAATAGTGGGGTGCTTGTCTTTTTCTGATGGGCGTATTTCATTCAGCACGACATCCTCCATGTTGTGGCACTCGACAGGGTTTCCTGTGGCCTTAAATGACCTCCCAGCATATGTACACGTCATGGTTTCCTTATTTATTCATCTACCTATGGACACTTAGTGCACTTCCACCTCTTGGCTATTGTGAATAATGCTGCAGAGCACATGGGTGTACAAACAGCTCAAACTTTAATTGTCCAATTTTCCAGGTGATGGCAACTCTATCTCACAAGGTAAAGTGAAGCTTAAACCAGTTTCTCAACAGTGGAGATCCTGGCATTTCCACTGGATAATTCTTTGCTGCAGGCCGCGGTGGGGGTGTGAGTGTGGGTAGTTCGCTGCTCTGTGGAATGTTGAGCAACCTGGCGGGTTTCTACCCGCTAGCTCTTAGCAGCACTTCCCACTCAACACACTGCCAAACTGGGGGTGTATGAGCGGGGGCGCGCAAATGGCCAGTGGATAAACACATCTCTAAGGAAACCCCCAGGCAGCGCTGTGGGACCCAGCTTGCTGCTGCCCAAGGCACAACGCTGGGCTTTGCACAAATGCGAACTCCGGGGCGCTCTACAAAGTAATTTTTTTAACTTTACAAAACCCGGAAGAGCTAAAAAAAAAAAAAAAAAAAAAACCCGTCATCCTGCATGGAGGAGAAAAGTGGGTGAAGAAACGGCAAGTCAGAAAGTTCCAATAAGGAGCCGACTTCCACGTGGGAGAACAGACCCTAAGGAGGGTCCCTCCCACTAAACCAACATGCAGTCTTCGCAGTGCATTCTGGGTCTTGTAGTCCAGTGTGCCAGGTCTGCGCGCGCATCCTCCAAGCGGGTGTCGTCCTCTGTTGTCCGCGGGTAGCCGCTCCCGGAAGTTAGGCCGGTTAAAGTTTCGAAGCTTCCTTTCCCCGCCTCTTAGTCCCGCAGACTGCCAAGCCAACTAGCCAATGGGTGGCTTTGCTGGCACCTTCTTTTACTGGATTGGCTTAGAGTTTTGCAACCTCGCAGACATACTGGCTGGTGATTGGCTAGGCCTTAAGTTTTGAAAATCGTAGGTTTCGCCCGCGCTGCACCGCCCCATTGCTTCCCCGACCCGTGAGCCCTGGAGGCCGGGAGCTAAGGGTCTGGGAGGGTGAGGTTCTCGGCTAGGGAGGCCGCGGGACTCGGATCGGAGCAGCACTTGGGAGACGTCGTGCAGGCGAGTGAGTGCGCGCGGGCGTCCGGCGGGGTGGGTGGTGGTTAGCAATCTGTTACCTCCGCCAGCTTCGACCGGGGGTGTGCGTCACCTTCCCCCCGCATCGCTTGCGGCCTGGGATGGCCTTGGGCCCTGAGATGACCCGCACCTTCCACCTGGGTCACCAGGATGCGAGAGGATAACCCGGTCGCCTCTCCCTTGCGGTGCCTGGACCCTTCGGGTACCTGGAAAGCTCTGTTGACCTGGATGCACACGAAGCGCCCGTCGCCGGGGCGTTGGACAGAGTTATGCCAGGTGGCAGTTCTGTACCCCTCCCTCAACACCTCCCCCACCAGCTGGGCAACCTTTTAAACGGGCCATTTCCAGAGACCAGTGCTGCCCCTTATGTCACTCAGCAAACAGTTTGCTGCCCCCGGGGTCAATTCCAGCCAGTCACCTGTGCCCTTCTCTTGGGGTGCCCAGAGCTAAAACTTGGGTCCACCCCTTCGGGGATTGTAGTCGGAGAGGCTGTGTAGCTTGTGGTTTAAAAGCACAGTTTAAATCCAGGCTCCGCCCCTACCTTGCCGGTGACTGACTTGTCATTTCCTTAGTTTCTTCATCTGCGCAAGGGTCTTTGGAGTCGTGGTGAGAAGTGAATGAAGCAAGGTGCTGCTCCTCCTGAGCCTGGAGTGGGGCTCAGTTAAATGGCAGCAGCTGTGTATGACAGCCCTTCACGAGGTGCCCAAGTTCTTGTACCCTCCTAGGACGGGGGTTGCATAAGAGGGTGTTGGGCTTCTAGTCTGGTGTGCAGTGGGGGAGAAGAAGTGGGAGAAGATGAATTTCCTTCTGCTTTGGAGGGATGTAGGGCGCTGTGGTTTGTGCCCAGGTTGAAGGTGAGGTGTCTGCTGCTCTTCCCAGGAGACTGATTGTGGGAGTGCTGGTTCCTTCTTTCTTGGGGTCCTCTCTGTTCTAACTTATAGGGACCCTCTTTAAGTAGCTAAGCTGAAGTCTGCTGACAACACTTTGCCATGGAAGAAGCCAAACACTTTTTTGCACTTTGCAAAAGAATCTCTCACCCACTTCGCCTTTTTGAACAAATGAAAAAGCAAGCTCTTGCTTTCTGTAGCTTCTCTGTGAACCTTTGTTTTGGTTTTGGCTTCCATAAACAGTTTACTGGTGTCCTGCACTTGGCCAAACTCTGGTGAGAAAGGCTGGGGCAGTCAGAGGGATGGCTGCTGAGAGGCTGTGCCCGAGACTGGCTGGCTGCAGGGTTGTGTGTGTAAGCCTCCATGCATGCTCTAGGAGCAAGGGCTTTGTATGGGTATGTCATGCCCTGACCTGTGGGGAATGAGTTCATTCGGTGTTCTGTGTGTGTTGTGTGGTGGAGGAGGGGGGAGGCAGCTGGAGAGGAGGGGTGAAGGGAGTACTTGTGGGATGTTTGTTTCTAGGTGTAGAGTTGATAAGTTCATTCATTCAACCAGTATTCCTTTCTTGCCAGGCACCGTGCCTGGCTCTGAGCTGTCCGCTCTGAGCAAGGCCAGGGCTTGCCCTCGGGGAGCAGATGTTTAGCGGGCAGAGATTGGCATGAGCAAACAGATGCCCCATCACCCAGGTGCGACACAGAATTGAAATGGATGGGTAGGATGGTGACTGGTGGTCAGGTCTCCCTGCAGAGCTGAGGTCCAAGTGGTGAGGAGTGAGTTGTTCTGGAGACAGAGTGTTCCAGAGGGCAGAGCTTGTCTGAAGAGCAATGACTAGTGTGTCCTGGAAGTTCGGCCCCAGGACAGCTGTAACCTGACCACTATTAAAGGTGTCAAGTGGTCACTGACTTAGCCTCTCCTTCCAGGTTCTTGGTTTTGAATATATAGATCCAGGTGGCGCGTCACTGGCCTGGCGTGAGACTGTAGTCTGTCCTGGCTTGTGACCATGGCCATTCATTTGTTCTTTCATTCATTCACCCGGTCGGGGTATTTCCTGAGCCCTTGCTATGCCTGTAATGGAATTCTTCCTTGCCTGGCACTTTGGTGACGATTTTATAACCAAGTCTTTAGGAGGATACCTGAGCTGCTAGTTTTTTAGGAAATTAAGAGAAAACTGGTTTTGTATTTTTCCTTCTTGATATTCATTTCTAGAGAAGTTCCCTAAAAAAACTATACATTGCTTTCAAGGGAGAGGGTTGGGGGAGCCCCTTGGAGAGGAGCATGTCTCTGGACCCCGACTTTCATGCCGGCTGCCTTGGCGTGTAGAACTGCTTCCACTCACTGGCTTCTAGAAGAGGCAGGTGAATCTGGTGTTCTTTGGCCTGACACTTGGGGTCAGCTTATGTCTTCGCTCAGGGTGACTATGTCTAAGTTTGTTCGTCTGCAGGTAGGAAGAGAGGGGCCCACGGGAAAGTAGACCTGCACCTGGGCAGGGAGGTGGGGGCCTGTGGAAGCCGCCATCTCCCTGATCCACGACAGCAGTTGGCTGTGCCCTGGCACCTTGACCCCAGCAAAGGCTGTTTGTTAGGAGGACTTTTGTTACCAGAATTGACATTTAGAATTCTGCTTCTTTGGGAATAGTCATGAGCAGAGAGGACCCTGATTCAGGCTCTGGGTGTTTTGTGGTGATTGAGAATAGGTGCTGTAGCTTGGCAGGTGCGAGGTTCCAGCCCCCAGCCCTGAGCTCTTGTGCCTCTTGTCCCCGCTTTAGCCAGAGAGAGCCACCATGGGGACGACAGCCCCAGGGCCCATCCACCTGCTGGAGCTGTGTGACCAGAAGGTCATGGAGTTCATCTGCAACGTGGACAATAAGGACTTGGTGTGGCTGGAGGAAATAAAGGAGGAGGCCGAGCGCATGTTCATCAGGTGAGAGCAGGGGGTTCTGGGGACTGCCTGGCCACCATGGCCTTGGGGACATAGCTGCCCCACTTCCCCATCTGACAGGTAAAACAGGCTATCAGGAGTTCCTCCTGATGCTGGGGGTCCCACCTAGAATCATGGACAGGAGGACTGGACTTTGGGGGCTGGCCTAGCCGCCTCACTCCTCTGCCACGACTTCAGGGCCCTGGCAGGTGACTTGCATGTGGCCCTGGAGAGCCCACCTAAAGCCTGTCACTCCTGCTGGCTCTGGCCAGGAGGTAGCCAGGGGCCAGACTGGTGCAGGAGGGAGCCAGCTGTCCCCAGGCCACAGCAGACATCACCCTTCTTGTCCCAAACAGAGAATTTAGCAATGAACCTGAGCTGATGCCCAAAACACCTTCTCAGAAGAACCGACGGAAGAAGAGACGGATTTCTTATGTTCAGGATGAAAACAGAGACCCCATCCGGAAAAGGTGGGAGGGGCTGGGGTCTGCACCAGCTGAGGGACGGTGAGCTGGGTAGGAGTGGGGGTATCTGCAGAGGTTTGGTGCCCATCGCTGATGCTAATTAGGAGCCAGCCTGCAGGCCTGCCGTGTGGCAGTGAGGTGTGACCTGGACCTGTGGAGTCCAGCGCTCATGCGTAGGGGGTGAGAGGTGTTTAACCTGGACCTTGCTGGGTGGAATGTCCAGACGTGGGAGAAGAAAGAGTCCAGCCTCCTGCGTGGGTGGGGTGACCAGAGGTGAGGCAAACCCCCGTGCTTGTGGCTACGGACATAACCGTGGGCTGCCGAGCACTGAGGGGAAGGGGCTGGGTCTTGGGGTCAGGTTGTTCTGGGTGTACACCCCAACTTGGCCCCAGGTAGGTCCTTGGGTTAATTTTCCACCTCCGAGCCTCAATTTCCTCTTCTCCGAAGTGAGGGTAATGGTACCTGCCTCTTAGGGACCGTCTTGTGGGTTAAGTAACAGCGCATTCGAGCCTCCAGTGGGGTGCTTGGTCCAGTGTACCCTCAGGTAGAGGATGGCTTTGTGAATTTAACCTTCCCAGCAGCTCAGTGAGGCAACCGGCCTCATCCCTAATAAATAGGGAGGCTGAGGCTCGGGGAGGGCTGAGTCTCGGGGCTCACCTTGGCAGAGCCTGGACTAGAACTCAGGTCTTCTGCCTCTAAGGCCTGTGTTTCATACTTATCCAAGTTGCTGGTTCCTGGGGAGCCCTGGCTCAGTTTTGAGACACCCCCTTGCCCTGCTGGGTTGTCTCAACTTTTGCCCTGCTATCTCTGGCAGGTTGTCCCACAGAAAGACACGGAGCGGCCGGCTGAGCTCCCGGCGCCTCCGCAGCAAGGACAAGCTGGAGAAGCTGGCCCCAGTGGCAGGGGAGGATGGCCCCGTCTTGCGGCGCGTGACCCGTGCTGCGGCTGCCGCTGCGGCCGCCACCGTGGCCTTGACAGCACCTTTGCCTGCCTCTGAGTCTCCCATGGCACTGACAAATAAGTCTGGGGTGAGCCTCGCGCGGGGCCAGCTGGTACCCGTAGTGGAGATAGGCACCAGTGAGCAACAGAGCGCCAAGCAGCACCTCAGCCAGCTCAGGTCTTCCTCGGCTGTACCCCCAGCCCTGGCCCCAGCCTCCCCCATCACCTTGACTTCGGACGAGGAATCAACTCCCAAGAAGCCAGAGGCAGGGAGACTGGAGTCTGTCATCCTCAGCTCCCTGATGACTACACCCCAGGACCCCAAGGGGCGAGGGGCTGGAGCAGGGCGGTCCGCCTCCAAGCTCAGGATCGCGCAGGCCTCCCCGGGCCTGCAGGACATGCCTGCCTCTCCGGCCTCCTCGTGGCAGGAGCGGGTGCTGGCTCCCATCCTGCCGGATAACTTCTCCACGCCCGTGGGTGCCCGCCTGGACCGGAGGTCGGTGCGGCGCAGCCTGATCTCTCCGTCCTCCCCGGGGCCCCAGCCTTCTCTGGCCCAGAAGTACTCGCTGGTGACCAAACAGACCGCCGTCCGCAGGTCCAGCAGGATTGCCAAGAAGGCCACCGAAGAGCCGGCCGCTTCCGCCCGCATCATCTGTGAGTCGGGGGCCCGGCGCCTTGGGCTGTCCTGGGTCCCTGCTCAGCTCGGGGACCCAGCAGAGCTGTCACTTTCTGTGTTGATGTGCACTTGTGTCGCAGAGTGGTCACACGCCCGAGCCTTCCGCTCACCCGGCTGCTGGGGACCACCGTGCGCGGTGCAGCCCGGCGCCCACCACCACTCACAGGTGGTCTCTGGCGTGGCTAGGGCTCTGGGGCTAGTGGGCCCAGTGGCTATTGTGGCTGATGGGACCGAGCCCTGGAATCTCGCTGAGTTTTGCTTTGCTGAGATGTCGGTCGCCTCACATAGTGGTGCAGATTGGGCAGCACAGATCCAGGTCAATCTGACTTAACAAAAGTAGAAACTGAGGTCAAGCAGTTGCTCAGCTGTTTCCTAGCCAATGGCCTCGGGGCCACCTTGCCAGGGGTCTGAGCCCCTGTTCTGTCAGCTGGGGTCACGACAACATTCCCTCGGAGGGTTTTAGGAGGTTTTCTTGGTTACTCTGGTAGGGTGTTGAGAACGGCTTGCCGCATGGGACGTTAGTCAGCTGTGTTTACCAACAGATCCCTTCTCGGGCCTCATCCCTGTCAGGGTGGAAGGCAGCAGGAAAGGAGGGAGATGTGAAACGTGACACCTAAGCCCTGGAGTCCCACAGTCTGGGTGACCGTGGGATACCCACCGTACAACCTAGACCCCTGTCCCAGAGTGTAGTTGTGGCCAGGCTGACCCTGAACGTGGCGCTGCAGGGGTGTGGGTCAGCGAGGGGAGAGGCCTCCTGGAGGAATTCCTGGCGCCCAGGCTCTGGGAGGCAACTGGGCGGGCAGCTCTGAGATGGGTCTTAGTTTGGGTTCCCCCAGAAGGCGCCCTTGATGTCAGGCTTTGAGTGTAGCTTCTTAGCGTTAGGGAGAAGGAAAGGTCTGCCGTAGGGGAGGCAGGAAGTGAGGCCGGGAGAGGAAGGGGGCCTGGTGCCTCCCAAACCCTCTGAAAGCCACAGGGCTCAGGGCTGGGTGGGGGTATGAACTGCGGAGAGCCACTGGTGCTGGGTGCAGCAGTGGGCGGGCAGGGATTTCTGGAGGCGCCTCCCTGGGGTTTCCCAGCCACCTCCATTGGGGTATAGCTCTTCCATTCCTCTGCCAGGCCTGCTCCGTGCCCCATCGGGCCCCTCCTTAACATCCTCCCCCTCAGGTCGCCTTGGTTTTGCAGTCAGATGTCAAGGGTTTGCTACTGGCTTGACTTTGGCCTTTAGTTTGCTTTCTCTCTAGTCCACGTGCAAGCACGGTGGATTCTTAAGTGCTCGTGGGCCCCAAAGCCCCATCGTGCGCCCTGGTGGTCTGTCCTGTGCTTGGTCATTTAACTGTCCATGATTTTGTAGGCTCCTGCTGCGGGCATCTGAAGTAATGCCCGTCTCAGATGGCCACACCCTTCATTGTGGGTCCCTGCCGAGGAGCACACTGATTTCCTATCTCAGAACAGCAGGGGGTGCCGGGAAGCTGGGACACCCACATGGTGGAGACTTGTTTTCCAGAATTGTTTCGGGCTATCTTTTTGGGGTGGGGGACCTCAATTTCTTATATGGGCAGCCAGTATCGTCCAGCTGATTTGCTGGACCGGACACTCACTTGTTCATTCTTAATAAAATACCTGCCACGCGCCCGGCTTGGGTCACTGGAGCTTGTCAGCCGTTCTTTCCATTCAGGCTCGTGTCCGGGACAAAAGGCGGCTGTGCAGCTGGGGACCCGGACGGGGCGCTCTCAGGGATGGGTGGCAGCAGGAGTTCTGCGTGCCTGCTGCTCCCCCCACGGTGTTAGTGCGCAGTGAACCCCGTGTGGTGCCATCACTGGCCCTCATTTCCCTGCCAGGGACATCCCGTGACCTTAGGCGTTTCTGTCCAGTGAAGGTGCCTTGTTGAGTTCTCGGGCCTGCTCAGCTCTCCCTCTGCTCTGGGCCTTCAGGAGGAATCTCAGCATGCTTAGCACCTTGTGGGGCCCCCAGAGGGCACTTTCACTTTGAGAACCACTGACCTAGACATCCTTCTCTCTCCACCCAAGCCCCACTTTGTGACTTTTTTTTTCATAGTAAGATACATTTATTTATGCATACAAGAATTGGGGTACAGGCCAGAGGTGCAGGGGGGGTGAAAGAATTCACCAGAGACAGAGTGGGGAACAGAACAGGCTAGCTGACAGAGACACTGCTGAGGGGAGCAGGGGGGAGACAGGAGAGGTCTGCTGCGCCATGTGGGTCACCTCCCTGGCCCAGGATCGAACTCGTGCTGCAGTAGTTGCGGATAGCTTCATAGTGCTGATTCTGAGCCCCTTGCACCACCAGGGAGACCCTAAACCTTCATGACCTTCTTATCCCACTCGTCCCAGCCTCCTGACCAGCCCAGCTTCCCCTTAGCGCTGTGAAGTCCCCTGCTCAGTTCTGGCCCACATCACATGTCCTTTACGGGGCTGTGTGCTTTGTCCTCTCCGGGGACCCAGGGCCTGGCCCAGGCCTGGTGTGCAGATGGCGCTCAGTATTTGTTGAGCGAGCGGGCAGTGTGGTGTTGACACCATGCTGTCAGACTTGTCCTTCTTCCCACGATGCCTCAGTCTGGCAAAGGAGCCACGTGTGCCCTGTGATGGGCACAGGCCAGCTCCTAGATGGCAGGAGACATAAAGCCAACAGCTCCACTGGGGACTTCAGAGTGAGGGAATGCTCGGGGCACCAGAACCCCTGTGTCCAGGCAGGGGTGTCTGAGTGGTGGGGAGGGTCTGACTATAGACAGGGAGCCTCCAGGCCCCCCACAGACCTGCTTCCCTGGACCTCATGAGGTGGCACCTGGCTGGCTTCTGATGGCATCTCTGTTTCCTTTGTTTTTCCTCAGGTCACAGTTACCTGGAGAGGCTCCTAAATGTTGAAGTACCCCAAAAAGTTGGGTGAGTTCAGTTCCTAGGCATGGGGACCTTCACAGGGTACTCTGGAGGTGAACCCGGGGGCTCCTGCCTGGGGCTCAGGCCAGCCCATCTGATATGGGCCCCCCTGTGTCTCTCCCCTCTCTGGGGGTCTTGGGCTGGCTGGGTGGCCCCACAGTGCCTCTGCTCTGCTTTCAGCCCTAAGCAGAAGGAGCCGGGCGAGGAGACTGAGCCTGTGGAGCCCGTGGAGGCAGCTGAGCCAGAGGTGAGGCGGGCAGGGAGGAGGGGAAGGTTCTGGGCTCAGCTCCCAGGGGCAGGCTTCCAAAGCTGTGCTGCTTTCTCCAGACCCCCAAGAACGACGGGAGCACCTCATGGCCTCGCAGTGCCACCAAGGTCGCCATCAGCACCCCTGGCTCGCAGCCTGCGGTTGGTGGCCAGGCCATGCCCTCAGAAGGGCAGCCAGGTAAGTCTCCCTGACCTGCCATGTGCATACGCCTGAAGCTGTGGTCGCCTGGTGGTCTGGGCCTGGCATCTCTAGGGGTGAGGAAGCCCCATGTTCTGGGCTGACAGGCCAAGAAAATATGGGGCCCAGGGGTGCTCAGATTGCCTCAGAGTCCACAGGCTTCCTCTCCCGCCTTTTGATGGAACTGCTACCAGGTGCCATGTGAATGGCCGTGGTGCTGGGGGCAGGATGAAAGGGGAAGGACTGGGATCGGGCACCAACCAAAGGTGGCAGATCGGGCCTTGGGCCCCACTCCCAGAGCATCAGGAGCAACTACGCGCTGGGGTCTGAAGACCAGCCTGCTGCCTGGTGCTGTCTCACTTTTCACCATGTGGTCCCTGTCTAAAGAGGGCAGGAGAGCTGTGGGCTTTGGCACCCCGGCACCCCCGTGGGGTAACTCACAACTCCCTGGTAGGAGGAGCACTGTAGCTGTGAGATCTGGAACAAGCTTCCCAGCTTTAGGATGGGATCGGGGATATCAGCCACCCTGATCTGTTGCCCCAGGGACCTGTAGGGTCCTTTGGAGTGAAGAGTTGGGAGGTGCACGCTTCTCCAGCAGTGCATCCGGCCCCACACCCCACCCGCTGACCCTGCCTAGAGGCCTCCCTCCTCCTATCCCAGCAGCCCCAGCTGAAAGGGCTGGGAGGACGGAACTTCAACGCTAGTCGGGGGCCCGTGAGAGCTTGTAGTTTCTGTCTGCTCCCCCGGCCCCAGCGGCAGAGGTGGTGGAACATGGTTGGGGCCCCCTCGATGGGGTTGCCCTGCCATTCTTGTCTCAGGCCAGGCATTGGGATGACGGGTCTACGGGCTGGGCTCTGGATGTCCACACCCTTGTCAAGGCCATTAGGAAGGCCCACCGGGGTGGGAGCCTCTCCTGGGGCTGCTGCTGGGACTTCCTTCCTCTGGGCCCTCTCCATGCTGTGGGCTGACAGGCCAAGAAAATATGGGGCCCAGGGGTGCTCAGATCACCTCAGAGTCCACAGGCTTCCTCTCCCGCCTTTTGATGGAACTGCTACCAGGTGCCATGTGAGTGGCCTTGGTGCTGGGGGCAGGATGAAAGGGGAAGGACTGGGCCTCACTGGGCCTCACTGAAATTGCTCTCTTCACAGAGGCCAAGACTGATCGGGCAGCCGGCCCCAAGGAGCCACCCCAGAGTGTCAGGTGTGCATCTGGGAAAGGGCCTGGAGGCATGAACCTCATCTCCTGGGTGTGCAGGCGGGGACCCATGGCCTCTTGGCAGGGACTAGGGCGCTGACTTAACGAAGAAGGTGGCTTGATGCTGTGGATGAGCCTGGCCTGGGAGTGGGTGACCAGATCTTGGACCCACCCTTCTGCATGTGACCCCCTGGCTGTGTGACCTTGGTCTTGTCACTTCCTCCTCTGGGCAGCCGAGGGTCATCAGGGAGACCCCACCTCTGCAGTGCCCTCCGGCCGGGAGTCCTGTGGGCCAGACCCAGTTTCCTTCACTGGGCGACCTTTTCTGTAGCTTGGCTGGGGCTGTGGGGAGGGCCCTGGGTCAGCTTGGTGACACAGCTGCCCCCCGCCCCGGCAGGAGGAAGCGCAGCTACAAGCAGGCCATGAGTGAGCTGGATGAGGAACAGCTGCTGGACGATGAGGAGCTGCAGCCCCCCAGGAGCAAGACCCCGTCCCCGCCCTGCACGGCCAGCAAGGTGGGGAACCTCCTGCCCTCGGTGCCTTGCCCCGCCTGCCCTCCAGGTCTGACCCCGGTCCTGTCTGCAGGTGGTGCGGCCCCTCCGGACCTTCCTGCACACCGTGCAGAGGAACCAGATGCTCATGACCCCGACCTCGACCTCCCGCAGCAGCACCGTCAAGAGCTTCATCAAACGCAACACGCCCCTGCGCACTGACCCCAAGGTGAGGTCCTGCCAGCCAAGCATGGTGGGAGCAGGCTGGGTGGCAGAAGGTTCCAGTCTGTCCCCTAGGCTACTAGGAGCCTTGGGGGTCGGGCCCAGGCACTTGTGACCTGGTGCTGGCCCCAGCCTGCTCAAGCTTCAGTGGCCATGGGCTGCTCACATTTGGGGACTGACCTGACCTCCTGGCCAGCTTGGTGCCACCCTGGGCGGGTACGAGGAGGTGGCAGTGGTGGTGGTGGTGTCGGCCAGAGGGCACAGGTCCCCAGCAGACTCACTGGCACAGCCAGGAGCCTGGCCTGCTTTCCAGGCCCCCTCCCCGCATGGCATTAACTCTTGACTCTCTCCTTGTCTCCTCTCCTCCACAGAGCAGCTTCGTTGTAAGTAAAGCCTTTTCCTGTCCTTGTAACTTAGCTCCACCTAGCGCTTCCCGCTGTAGCTCTGCCCCCGGCATACTGACATCACCTGTAGCAGCACTAACACCCCAAGCGGGGCGCCGGGGTGGTGGGCGTGAGCCGGAGGCTGGCCTCCTCCCTCTGCAGAGCCTGTCCTCTGCCGTGACTGCTCCCAGGAGGATGCGTCTCGGAGCCTCTCTGAGGCAGGTGGACACAAAGGGGGGGTGACCTGCGGCACTTCACCGGGCCACAGCTTGAAGTGTTCCCCGGCACTGCCCTGCCCTGCGCTCCCCTCGGGCTGGGCCTGAGAAGAGAACAGACAAGTCCCATCTGATCCCCAGACCACACAGATACTGGGTCACAGACCTAAGCAACTGCCTTAAGGCAGCAGTTCCAAGTGAGGGAGGGGGTCCACACCTGACCCCTGGTTGAAGGCCAGGGGTGCTGGAACTGCTAGGGGAGCTTCTCAAGAGAAGGTGCAAGAACTGTTCTCTTCTCAGATAGCCCAGAGCTGAGCTGGGCCACTGGCCATGAGCAGGACCCACCAAGAACTGGGGCCTGCTCACACAGGCCTGGCTCCCGCCTCCCAGGGAGATGCAGGACCTCCCACCGGGAGTGCTTCCTCTGGCCCACGGCCTGAGGGCCTGAGCAACACCGCAGGGCTTGGCAGATCAAGGGCTTCCCAGCAGCTGGACAGGTGGGCTCTGAGCTCGCCTCTTCTGAGGAGGGTTGGGAGGCTGGTCCCCTCGGGGTAGAGGAGGCGATGGTGTGCCTTCAGCCAGCCAGCGGGCTGTGTGGCCTGACACTGTGGCACAGGCCCGGGCCCACAGAAGAGAACAAGGCTCAGCTTCACCCTTCCTGCAAGGACTTCCCAGACCCCCAGAATGAAAGAGCTGCACCTGCACTTTCCTGCTGTGGTTGCCCAGGGCCCTGCACAGGCTGGTGGGGTGGGGCCGGAACAGTACTCAGTGAGGCCAGAGGCCTGGGTGGTGGGCCCAGGGGCCTTGGCCTGGTTTCCTGACCGTGGGGCCTAAGTTTCCTCAGCTACAGAATTGGAACAGGTTGCTGGTCAGGTGGACTCGAGAGTGACTGCCAAGCCCAGGACTTGGTCAGGATGGCTCCCTGGGAGCCTCTGGAGGCAGAAGGGGCTGGCACACTTGGTTTTCCCCCACCCTCTGCCTTGAACTTGAGGGCCATCTTTGGGGAGTAGGGACAACCCAGCCCACCTTGGAGGGTGGGGGCAGAGAGCAGATGCGGATTCTACGATGTGTACAGCTCTCGTGTTCCTCCCCAACATTCGCGCGCCGGGGTGAGTGCCCAGAGCTGTGCAGGGCATGTGGGCACGCAGGCTCTGGGAGGAGACTTGTTTTGCTGAGCCCTGTTGAAAGTAGAGTCTGCTCAGCCCTTGAGGGTGGTGGGAGTGCCGGGAGCCATTAGACCTCTGCTTCCAGGGTGCTTTTCTCAGGGAGAGCAGATGGGAGGGGCTGGGGGGGCAGGGAGCTGGAGGTCCATTTCCACCTTTGTGCCTTCAGATTTTTTTCAGCTCTGTGCTCTTCCTCCCGGAGTGACAGGCCGTTCCGCGGACTCTGCCAGTGCTTCCTCGGTGTCCTTTCCCGGTGTGCTCAGGCGGGGGGTGCTTTTAAAGTTCACCTTCCCGTTTCCTGGCTTTTGTCTTCTCCATTCTGCTTTTGGGCCCATCCAGAGTTTTTAATTTTTTATTGTACTTTTTTCCATTTGGTTCTTTAGATCTTCTCCTTGCCGAGATTCCGTTTTCTGTTGTCGTGAGCGTGTTTGAGGTTACTTGCGGAAGCATTTTTAGAGCAGGTGCTTGAAAGTCTGGCGCTGAGTCTCGGCGTTGCTGCCTGTGGCTGCCCTTCCCCGTGGGAGTAGAGATTTTCTCGGTCCCTTAGATGTTCAGTCACGGCGGGGTGTATCGTATCTTGAATATGCTGTCTGGAGACTCTGGGTCTTGTTTAAATCATGGGGAGAAAGTTACCTGCCACCGGCCCCTCTCTCCACCAGGTGACCAGAAACTGCGGTCAAGGGCAGAGGCCAAGGGACATGGCCAATAGCTAGTGCAGGGAGAGGGGGTGCTCTGGGTGCTGAGTCCGGAGATGGCAGTCCGATGGGAGCCAGGTTGGATGTCGGGTGGGGGACCCTAGACTCGTCTCCAGCCTCCATCCTCTTCCTCTGCCCACTCAGGGGTAAAGCATCCGTGTTGTCTTCGGCCAGGGAGGGCTTGGCACCTCCTGGCTAGCCCCCTGGCTGCCTACTGCTATGGCTATACCCCTGGCACTTTCTGGGCCAGAGGCAGAGGGGTATCCCATCATGGGTCTGTTGAGCAACCAGCTAGTACTTTTAAAAAAGTTTTTTTGGTATTTCTTGTGTGGTCACATCACAGGATGTTTGGGAGTAAAGGAAGTCCAGCCCGCGTCTGTCTCGCCAGCAGGTGGCGACCTCGGCCAGCGTTTGGCAATGCCTGCTTTTGTGTTTTTTGACGATTATGAAAAAAATAGTTGATACACACGAAAGAGAGAGAGAGAGAGAGAGAGAGGGAGAGAGAGAGAGAGTGTGGAGGCACATAGTATAAAGGTTACAAAGCACAATAGTAGTGAGTTCACACCTGCGTGCCCACACCTTAAATGGAGCCTTCACCATGACCTCACGGCTGCCCCTCTGCCCCTCCCCGAGTCATTCTTTTCAAGTGCCCTTTCCCATAGTTATGATCAGAGCCTCCATCCAGTTCTGAACTTGGTTTGGAACGACTGACTTGACAGGGCTTGGTGAGGACACTTGTGACTCGGGCCTTTGGGTCCTCGGCAGGAAAGACTGCGCGTCGTAGGGCTCGGCTGGGTGGGGATGAGCTGTGGGGGGTGCCTGTGCCCTCAGTTGCAATCCCATGCTGGCACCTGTCTGGCTGCGGGGGGTGCCTGTGCCCTCAGTTGCAATCCCATGCTGGCACCTGTCTGGCTGCGGGCTGCAGGGGCCGCAGGGCAACCCTGGGAAGGCTTGTCCTCACCCCGGCCCTCCTCCCCATACCCCACCCCCAGGAAAAGGAGCGGCAGCGCCTGGAAAACCTGCGGCGGAAGGAGGAGGCCGAGCAGCTCCGCCGGCAGAAGGTGGAGGAGGACAAGCGGCGGCGGCTGGAGGAGGTGAAGCTGTAAGTGGCTGGTCCTTGGCCCCTGGCCCCCCACCTTGGCCGGGCTCCCCGTGACTGCCCTGTGCCCACAGGAAGCGTGAGGAACGCCTCCGGAAGGTGCTGCAGGCCCGGGAACGGGTAGAGCAGATCAAGGAGGAGAAAAAGAAGCAGATCGAGCAGAAGTTCGCTCAGATTGACGAGAAGACCGAGAAGGTATGAGCTTGGGCTGGGGGACGGCCAAGCTATGGCTGTGCTGGACCTGGTGGGGCTCTGGCAGTGCTAACTGGGCGGCCTGAGGGTTAGGACTAGACCCTCAGGAATTACGGGTTAAGACACCCTGTAGCCTCTTGTTCGTCCCACAGGCCCTGGGGTCTGTTCTGAGCCAGGCTGAGGGTTGAAGGTGTCTGCGCTGAACTGCACAGCAGCCCTGTGTGAGTGGGTGGGCTGAGGCCCCCCAGGGCAGGACAGGCTTCTGGTGTCCCCATCCTGTGGGGCCATTGAGGAGGGCTGCTCCACGGCACCTTGGGTGGGCTCTGCAGGCCAAGGAGGAGCGGCTGGCTGAGGAGAAGGCCAAGAAAAAGGCCGCGGCCAAGAAGATGGAGGAGGTGGAGGCGCGCAGGAGGCAGGAGGAGGAGGCGCGGAGGCTCCGGTGGCTGCAGCAGGTGCGGGGGGTGGGGGGGCAGAGGGACCCGGGCGTCAGGGAGGAGGTGGGCAGGACAGGCACTGCCTCGATGCCCCACTTGTTGGCTCCGTCCTGGAGAACCTTGTGGCTTCAACCCAGAAAGAGGTCCAGGCAATGCCTTGGAGTCTGGGAAGGTGACAGTGACCTGCCTCCTGTTTTGGCAGTTTCTGGGTTAAGTGCAAGGACCATGGAGCCAGACTCTCTGTCAGCTCTGCGGTGTGACGCTGGACATGTCACTTGACCTCTCTGCTTCGGTTCCTTCAGATAGCACCAGTGCCTATTTAAAAATAGGCTTGTGGGATGACGTTTTTTGCCTGGAAAAGGAGGGGCCTGACCACTTCCTGGGAACTGTCAGCCTTACAGCTGCAGGGAACACAAACTGGCTGTTAGGGGCTAGAACACTAACGAACATTTACTGAGTATTTCCTACGTGTCAGGCACTGTTCTCAGTGTGAGGTGTATAACCTCTGCAGCCTCGTGAAGCGTAGGAATTACTGCTGTGCCCATCCCAGCTTACTGATGAGGAGACTGAGGCCTGGGGCTTGAGCAAGGTGCCCAGTGCCATGCGGCTCATGGGTCTGGCCCCGGTCCGTACCGCTAACAAGGAGACCTGCTGCCCCGGCAGCTGTTATAAGAGGCCCTTTTAGGCGGATCATGGTGATTCTCACCAAGCTTTGTGTGGGTGTCCCTGGCTGAGCCCTGGTGGGCACTGATGTGGTGTCCCCTGAGAGGAGCAGGCCCTCCCCTTCCAGGCCCCTCGCCCGGACCTGTCTCACCTCTCTGGCCCACGAGTAGCCGAGGGCACTGACCTTGTGCTCTGCTCGCAGGAGGAGGAGCGGCGGCACCAAGAGCTGCTGCAAAAGAAGAAGGAGGAGGAGCAGGAGCGCCTGCGGAAGGCGGCTGAGGCCAGGAGGCTGGCAGAGCAGCGTGAGCAAGAGAGGCTGCTGGCCGAGCAGCAGGAGCAGGAGCGGAAGAGGGAGCAAGAGCGGAAGAGGGAACAGGAGCGGAAGAGGGAACAGGAGCGGCTCCAGGCTGAGAGGTGAGGGGGCCAGGCGGGTGGGCGCGCAGAAGCAACAGGGGTGACACCCTGCTGCCGCCCATCCCACCCTCGTGTGTGTGTGCACGCCCAGGAGAGACAGAAGTAGCTTTGATGTGGCCCCACCTCCCTTGGGGGTTTGCACACGGTTGACTCCTTCTTGGCTCCAGACCCAGAGACCCACAGCAGGCAGCCCCCTGAGCAGGGGCCTTGCTGCCCAGACTCCAGGCGGCACAGGCCGATCGCTCGGGAGTTTGCTCTGGTTCTTCCTCTGGTTGTGTATGCTCGCCCCCTCTGGCAGTCTGTTCCTCAGCTGACATAGCTGGGACGCAGGGGTCATGGGACAAACCAGTACTTCTAACATGGGTGCTCGGGAGCACACCTGCAGCCTCTGGGGGTGCTGAGGTGCCAGGTTGCCCCCAGCATTGCTGCCTGCCCCTCTGGGAAGCGAGGCAGGTGAGCCCTGAGGCCTTGCCGCTCTCAGGGGCAGTGGGCTCTGCGGCACCTCCTGGGAAGCACCAGGTTGCACTTCATGTCCCAGCCCACAGGGTGAATGGCTGCCCACCCAGTGGGAGAAGTGGGGAGTCCCAGGCAGGTCACTGGCCAGCTTTGCGACCTCCCCGTGCTTATGATTGGCACACACGTCCCGGGCCCTGTGGTGGTCAGAGAGGTGACAGCGAGGCTGGTTGGCAACCGATGTGGGTTTAGAACTGATGGTGCCAGGCAGTGCCGGGACTTGGAGCATGAGGGTGGCAATGTGTGGTGGCCGTGGCAGGTGCCCAGCTACACACTTGCTTCCTTGAAGCCCTGAGTCTCATTTGAAGTCCCCTGGGGTGTAGGAATCAGCAGCTCTACTTCTTAGAGGAAGAATCAGGTTCAGAGAAGTTGAGCAACATGTTTAATGTCACAAGCTAGTGAATGGTGTTGGCTCCAAACCCATAAACGTACCTTTTCCCCTTCACACCAGGCCGGAGCGGGGTGCCCGCCCTGTGGTTGGGATGACTGCAGGCCACCCAGATTGTCTCCCTGTGTTCTTGTGGTGACTTTGGAGGGCAGGTGTAATGAACCCCACTGTACAGCCAATAGGACTGAGGCTTGGAGGCCCAAGTTGTGTGGGAGAAATTGGGGGACCACAGTTGGTGGGCTCTCCTGCTGAGCACTGCCTGCAGCCTCTGGGCACGTTCTCCTGCCCTAGACCTTCGGGGCGCAGGCACAGCCAGGCTCCTAGCTTCGTGCCCGTCCTGCCAATACACATTGTATGGGGTGGGAGCGGGGCTCGGCTTCCAGGCTGACAGGCTCTTACTGGTCCCCAGGGAGCTGCAGGAGCGGGAGCGGGCCATGAGGCTCCAGAAGGAGCGGCTGCAGCGGGAACTGGAGGAGAAGAAGAAAAAGGTAAATGGGCGCTGGGTGTGCGGCGCTCCCACAAGTCGTGGGAGCCTGGGCTGGGGAGGCCTGACCTGGTGGCTTCTGATGTAGAAGCTGCCTCATGTGGGGTTAACCTGGGCGAGGGGAGCATGTGTGCAAGACACACATACACACACACACATACATACCCCCCTGGTTCTCTGTCACCCGACCCGTGTCTGTCTCAGGAAGAGCAGCAGCGTCTGGCCGAGCAGCGGCTCCAGGAGGAGCAGGAGCGGAAAGCCAAGGAGGCAGTGGCAGCCAGCAAGGGCCTGAACGTGACCGTGGAGGTGCAGGTGAGGCCGGGGCACCCGCAGCCCTGATGACTCTTCCTGGTCATTGGGGCCCGCACTGTATGATATAGGGCCCGTGAGAAAGAGGGCGGGGCGGCTGGCCAGTTCTTTAATTCTTTTTGCTTTTTTATGTGTATATATTTTTTCTTACTCTAAAAGTAAAATTTGCTATAGAAAGAAAAAGTAGTTATAAAAGGTTATAAAGTAATAGAAAGATATTCTCAGAGGAAAACTCTAGTCTAGAGTACATTTTTCTGTATTATATATGAGCACTTTACACACACACACAGAGCTTTATACACGCACACACAGCTTTAAATGGGCAGAGGCTAAACTGTCCTGGTCTATCCCAGCAGCTACCAACCATGCAGCCTGGGCGCTGTTACTTCCCACAGTCCTGGAAGCCAGGAAGCCAAAGGTTAAGGCCGCAGGTTCAGCAGCCGCTGTGCACCCTCTACTGGGCTCATGGCCAAGTCCTCACACACGGAGGGGAGAGAGGGCTCTCCTAGGGTCTCTCCAAGGGCACAGATCTCATTCATGAGGGCCCCCCTCATGCCCTACTCCCCTCCCAAAGACCCCCGCCTCCTAATACCACTGGGGTTAGGGTTTTTTTTTTTAAGATTTATTTATTTTTATACAAGAACGGAGGTACAGACCAGAGGCGCAGGAGGAGACAGACCAAGATACACTGCTGAGGGGAGCAGTGGGCGAGACAAGAGAGGTCTGCCGTGCCGTGTGGGTATCTCCCTGGCAGGCCAGGAATTGAACCGGCGCTACAGAGGCAGCGGACAGCTTCACAGTGCTGCACTCAACCCGCTGCGCCACCAGGGAGGCCCTGGGGTTAGGATTTAACAGGGACGTTGGGCTACTGGGGAGAACAAACATTTAGCCCATACCTGTTAGTCATGCCAGAATTTCTTTAACCAGGTCCTAGTGATGAACATTTCAGCAACTTCCAGATTAACACTGTCACAGGCACAGTGTGGAATGAAGAAGGGTTACTACTACCACGTACTTGAGGCCTTGGAAAGCCTGGGGGTGGCTTGATGCTCTTCTAACGGGTGGTGGGAGCGCCCTAGACACACAGACACACTGGCTTGGAAGTGATTGCGCACGCTGGAAACCCCAACCATGTGTGGTGTGATGTTTTAAGCGAGAAGGTGATCCCGAACCTTTTGCTTTTTCCTGTGAAAGGAGGGAGGTGGCCAAGGAGAGGTGCGGGGGTGCTGATGGCTGTGTTATCTTCTCCAGTCTCCAGCCTGCACCTCATATCAGATGACTCCACAAGGACACAGGGCACCCCCAAAGATCAACCCAGATAACTATGGGATGGATCTGAATAGTGACGACTCCACTGATGATGAGGCCCAACCCCGGAAGCCCATCCCTACCTGGGCCAGAGGTAAGCAGGGCCTGGAGCTCTGCAGGACACTTGAGTCCTCACTTGTGGTTTCTGGAGGCAGCGCCGTGGTGGGTATGGGAGGGCTGTGGGCTTGACCACTTGACACATGATTGTGCTACCTCAGGCCGGGGTGCAAGGCCTGCCAGGTGTGTACAGTGTGCTCAGTGGGGAGTGAGGGCGAGTGCAGGGAACCCCATGGAGGTTGGTACTTTGCAGGAGATAGCTCCCTTTTGTGAACTTCACCTCATTTGAACCCTGTGAGAATCAGAATCTGACTTCGTCTCCTTAACTCCCAGTGCCAAGTGGGAGGGGGCAGCAGGCGAGGCCAGGCTGGCCCCAGAGCCCCACAGCTGGAGCTGACGCTTGCCAGTTTTCTCAGACTCTCAGTTTTCTCAGTTGTGAAATGGGGGGTATAAATGGGACCAGCTGAGAAGGTTCTGGAGGGTGGAACGAGTTAGAGAACAGAAGGTCTGGTGCTGGGTGTGTGGTGCTGACAAGATAGGAGCTGACTGAGGCAGTGAGGCTGGAACACGCACCTCAGTACCAGAGCTGTCCTGGCTTTCATGCCTACTGTGCCTGTCACTGGCTGTCTTTGAGGGGACAGAAGATCTGTTCCCAGGGGGTTCTTGTGGGAATAATGGACCCCACTGGCTCCTGTGTGCTTTTGAGGAAACTATCCAGGCCGAGCTGCCAGAGCCTGGCTGTGTTGTGTGCAAGAGTGTGGACCCTCTCAGGAGAAGGAGGCTCAGCTGAGAAAGGCTGACAATGGCAGGGCCTGCTTGGGTGGGGGCTGGTGAGGCCTCCGTGGGTGGGTGGTTGGGTGGTGGGGGATAGGGCGGCCCATGGAAAGCCCCAGGCAGTAACCACGCCTGTCCCCTGCAGGTACCCAGCTCAGCCAGGCTATCCTCCACCAGTACTACCACCCCCCAAACCTTCTGGAGCTCTTTGGAACAATCCTCCCACTGGACTTGGAGGACATCTTCAAGAAGAGCAAGCCCCGCTACCATAAACGCACCAGCTCCGCTGTGTGGAACTCACCCCCATTGCAGGGTCCCAGGGTCCCCGGCAGCCTGGCCTACAGCCTGAAGAAGTACTGAGGCGGCCCGGGCCTTCTCGGCTTCCCCAGCTCCTGTCTGTCTGTCTGTTCACCTCTTTTGGTCGGTGCCCTCTTGCCCAGCGTTTTGTCGCAGAGGGCTTGGTCCTATGTATATAAATGTTCTCTGTGCCGTGGGTGGAAAGTGGCCCGGATCTGTTTGGAGGCTGTGCTTCAGGCCCAGCCTCGCCCAGCCCAAGAGCAGCCCTCTGTAAATAGATTGTTATAATTTAGCTGAATTTTAGCCGCTAGTGTTTGAGCTAGATTAATAAAGTCTATTCCTTCAAGCCTGTGGCAGGTATTGTGGAGAGGAAGCCTGAGCAACAGGCCCTGGCCCGGCCCTGCAGAGTGCTGGGGCTACCAGATGGGCGGGAGGACCAAGGCACTGTTCTGGGTGTGATTGAAAGTGTCCTGGGCCGCACCCCCAGAGATGCTGGTCCAGCCTGTCAGAGCAGCCGTCACAGTTGACCTTCCCAGCACTCATCACCTTTAGCCCCAGAGGAGTTGTCAGCCTCCCTGTTCCCTTCACCTGGGTACTTCTGATGGGGTCAGTGTCCGGCACTCATTGGGACATCTTCAGGACAGGAATCACACTTCGAAGCAAGAGTTTTAGTTAAAACGTCACTAGTCATGTGTTGTCATGTGGTGTGTACATGCAGCTTGAGCTGTGTGTGGTGCCTCCCCCACCACCCCGACTCCAGATCCCTGTTCTCCATGCAGAAGGCTAGTGGGAACTAAATGAGTTAAGAAAGCTTTGTCCATTTTTAAAAAGCTATGATTTGCAATGGCAAATGACATCTTTTATATGAGCATAAAAGATCTGAAAGGTTTGCTTTTCCCCCTTGATATCAGAATGCAATACCTTTTGAAATACCTCATATAAGGCTTAACTTTGGGTCTTTGGAATGTACCTATGGGTCTGGAAATTGGACACAATTGTTTGGTTGAATGATCTGTTCTCAAGGCTGAGAGACTGGCTATACGAACTAATTAAAGAGATCAGCTTCTGGATTGTGGAACTTCTGGGGAAGTTCCAAAGGCAGAAGTGTAGGGCAGCTAAAATATCCCTACATATGTCATTTTTGGCAAAAGCAACCTCCCACCCAACCTTCAGATGCCCTCCCATAAAATCAACCTTTTGCCAAGTCTGTCATCCATTTTGAGTTGATTTTTGTGTATGGTGTGAGATAGTGGTCTACCATTATTTTGCATGTGACTGTCCAGTTTTCCCATTTTTTTTTAAGACACTTTCCTTGTTCCAGTGCATATTCTTGGCTCCCTTGTCACATTAGTTGTCCATATATGTGGGCTTTCGACTTGATTCCTTTGGTCTGTGTGTCTGTTTTTGTTCCAATACTGTGCAATTTTAATTTTTAGAGCTTTGTAGTATAGCTTGAAGTCTGGGTGTGGAATGCCCCATTCTCCCCATTTTTAGTCAGGAGTGCTTTGGCTATTTTGGGGTTTTTGTAATTCCATATGGATTTCAGGAATATGTGTTCCATTTCTTTGGAGAATTGCTATTAAGATTTTTATTGGAATTACATTGAATCTATATATTGCTCTGAGTAGAATGGCCATTTTGGTAGAGATTTTTTTAATATGTCCAATTGTTTCAAGACAATTTGTTGAAAAAATTATCCTTCCCACACCGAATTGCCTTTCCGCCTTTGTAAAAGCTAAGTGACCATATCGATGTATCTTTATTTGTGCACTCTATTTAGTCCTGTGGCTCTATCTTTATGCCAATAGCATGTCCTGAGTGCTGTAACTTTGTGCTAAGTCTTGATGTAGTCTAAATGTGCTCATATTTTTAGAGTTGCTTTGGCTGTTGTAGTCATTTGCAGTTCAATATGAAAATTTAACAGTAAAAAAGCCCAGGAGAAGTCTAACAAGTACAGGCACCGCTCTGTCTGTGTGGGAGAGGCCCAGCGTAACTAACACGTGGCTTCAGATACCATCTTAAGCAGAGGTTTAAAAAATGGGCCAGAAAGGGAATCTATGCTGGGTCCCCACCCAGACTTACCTACCTAATCTCATTACCTCTCAGCCTCTCCTGAAGTGTCACCCTAAACTAGTCAATCTGGAGTTCCCTGTTAGCCCCCTTCATCCCACCCCACTCCAGCCTGCCCCAGCCTTCCCTAATGGAAAACAGGACAAAATCTTAGTGTTTTTGTATTTGGCACAGATTACTTGGCATGCGACACTAAAAGTATGAGCTCTAAAAGAAAAAGTTACTCAAAATTTAATTCATTTTGCTCTTTTTAAAGTTACCTACTCAGGACCTCCCTGGTAGTCAAGGGGTTAAAGTCTCAGCGTCATTGAGCTGTCCCCAGGCACAGCAGACCTCTCCTGTCTCGCCTGCTGCGCCCCTCCGCAGTGTGTTTCTGTATTTCGGTTCTGCTCCCCACTCTGTCTCTGGTGAATCCTCTCACCCCCCGCACCTCTGGCCTGTACCCCAGTTCTTGTATGCATAAATCAATAAAAATAAATTTTAAGTTACCTACTCAGTAAAGTCAGGAGGAAAAAAAATGTCAGATGGTTTCATGTATGTGGAATATAGAGAAACCAAAGTGTCAGGAAAAACAAAAAAGACAAAACTTGCAAGCTGACCACGGATCGTAGGCCTAGGGCTGGGGAGGGGGGAGAGGGGTACAATGGGAGGGGAGAGCTGTCGGGCTGTGGGGATGGGTCACGGGTACCCTGGGGGTGGGAGAGCTACGGGGACCACACCAGAGGGGAGAAATCAAATTCTACTCAATTAACAAAGATAGAAGAATTAATTTAAAAAGTTACTTATTCAGCATCTCATTCCCCACCATGGGATGGTGCAAGTGGCTTATCTGCCATATTCCCGGAAATAGAAGCGGGGATGATCTTCCTGCCTGTGAAGATGAATGAAACAGGTGCAGGCTCTTCCATAGGACTCGTCCGTGAAGCCAACCCCCCGCTGGAGCTCACCCCCTGCCTCCCTGACCCTGGCTAAGTACCTGGCCTCTGAGGCTTTCCCTGCCTCCCTCAGGTAGACTAAAGCAGAGGCGCCTTCTCATGTAGATGCGAGCCCATGAGCCGGGGGCACCCCTGAGCTCAGTCAGCTGAGCCGCAGGGAACGCTGGGAAAACTGCACTTGGGCAAGAGCCATGGGGTCCCTGTCCCCTCCTGGCTTCCATGACGGAAATTCGGAAGGCTCGAGAAAGAAGAGCAGGCAGGAGAAGGGAAACTGGCCCTCACCAGCTTCCCCCAGGTTTGCAAACTACCCAGGTGTCAGGTTGCCCCCTTTCTGAGTCTCTTGGTGCTTAAGGTGCCCTTTGGCAGCTACCAAGCTGGAGGACAGCTCCCAGAAGGATGGAAGCTGAGTCCCTAAGACCCCAGACACCTGCTTCAGAATACACCCTTGGAGGTCTCCCACCAGCAGAGTAGGAAAGAACGTACAAATCCCTGCTCCCGCCCAATAACTACGAACTGTCCCTGCGTGCTGGAAGGAGGAAGTGACTCAAAACAGCGCTTTTAAAATAGTCAATTTCATTTGTCTTGTGTAAGGGCAGGATGGCCCTGTGCAGGTTTCCTAGGATTGCAGCAGACCAGACCAGGTAAAGGAGGAGTCCTGGAGCCCTCAGTGGGTTTCAGGCTTTTATTGGGATTTACCAGGTACACAGCAGACAGGGGTGCTGGGGGGCCGGGAGGCTGGCAGGCTCCCACCCCCCAGCAAGTCTTCACTCTTTCTGGGCTCTCCAGCATTCTCTCGTGGCCATTTCTTCTCTGCTCCTTTTGCTCTCATTCTCTATGCTTCTCTGATCTCATGGCTCTGCTTCTGCTGGTAGTTCTGTTCTGCTGGTGTCCCCGTGACGCAACCCTTATAAGCCCAGTTTCAGCCCAGGTGTACCCACTTACGCATGTCCACACCCCACTCCAGGTGCCCGCCATCAGGCATGCGTTCGGGGCTGCAGGGATCCATCATCCATCCTAATGTCGGGAGGGCAGAAAAGCCTGATGCTTTTTACCTTACCCTACACCTTGATTACATTAAGCCTGAAAAAATGGATATAAAGGTTGCATTTTCATTCAGATTCAATTGCCTGAATCCTTGAAGCTTTGATCTGATTTGCCCCCACAAATAAGGTGGTGGGGGAGAGAGGGATCCTAAGCTCGGCCGTGATGGTAGCTTGTTCTGGTCACTGTTTTATCAGCGGGCCCCTCAGAGCTAGAAACCGGGCTCAGAGCCGGCAGCCTGCCTCTGAAGTTGCTCACACCTGTCTGTCTTACTGAGCTAACGCTTTGCTTCGCAGCAATTGCTTGGTAAGGGGGCGTTCCTACGCGTTCCAGTAGGGGGCGCTACAGCACAGGTTTTGGCTTCCTCTCCCTGTGGCGCCGGGGCTGTGCCTGAGCTTTCCTGAACTTTCCACTCTCCTGCACCCCTGTCAGCGGATCCTGCCTGGTCTTCAGGACGGTAGGCGCTGCCACCGTGCTGGGAGAGGGTGGGTGCTGACTGGCGTGAGCGCAGCCTCTGCTAAGCCGCGATGGTAGCTTGCTCAGGTCACTTTGTGGGGTTTTTTGCTTTGTTTTTTAAAGATTTATTTATTTATTTATGCATACAAGAGCTGGGGTACAGGCCAGAGATGCGAGGGGCGTGGGAGTGTGAGAGGATTCACCAGAGACAGAGTGGGGAGCAGACAAGCAGATCGACTGAAACACACTGCTGAGGGGAGCAGCAGGGGAGGCAGGAGAGGTCTGCCGTGTGCATTGCTCCCTGGCTGCCTGGGGATCGAACTCGTGCTGCAGAGGCTGCAGATTGCTTCATAGTGCGGTGGTTAACCCCTTGCGCCATCAGGGAGGCCCTCTGGTCACATTCTTATCACAGATCCTCTCAGGGCTGGAAACCCCACTAGGGTTTCAAGGCCCCCAAGTTGTACGAGTGGTGTGGGTTCCACTGTGGGGGCGGCAGTGGAGGCTTTGGGGTCCTGCAGGCCGGGCTGCCCTCCTTGCTGCAGTCCTGGGTCTGTGTCTCTTGCCCGGGTGCGACTGCTATGAGGAGCCCTGGGGCCAGGCCACAGGCCCAGTGCTGCCTTGCCTTCCTGAGGCAGTTGTTCAGGTTTATGGGCCCACCACCCTGTTCCCCTGCTTCTATCACCGCTACGAGTCACAATACAGCTGCCTCAGACTCTAGACACCTGGCGCTCTCAGGTATCCAGGTGTGAGGAGCAGGGGCACCTTTGTTGAGTTCTGCTGTCTCGGTGGTTGCAGATTCAAGGGGAGCACAAAGAGAAGTCCCATGTCGCCAGGATGCCCCTGTCACCCTGGGCATAGCGTATTCTTATCTACCCACCAGGTGAAGGATATTTGGGCTGATTCCACTCTGGGGCGATTATGAATATGAACATTCATGTAGAATTTGGGGGTGGACAGATGTTTTCATTTCTCTCGGGGCAGTCTCTTAAGTGGGATTTCTGGGTCCTGTGGTCACCCTTTAACCTTCTGAGGATTGTTTTCTAAAGTGGTTGCACCACTTCCCATTCCCATCTGCAGTGTGGGGGTGCCACTTCTCCATACCAGCCTTTGATATTTTCTGTCATTTTGTTTACAGCCACTCTGAGTGGAATCTCTGCATTTCCCTTGGTTAATAATGATGTGGAACATTTTTTCATGTAGGGTTTTTTGCCACTTATAAGCCATCTTTGGAGAAATGTCTGTTCAGATCCTTTGTCATTTTCCAGCTGGGTTATGGATTTGTGAGTTATTTATGTTATAGCAATGTCCTGAACATATCTGCTCTTCCCAGGCATCTTTATTTTGGTCTTCGTTAGCTGGAGTGAATTTCTCTTGTGATCAAGTGTCCTGACTGGCATTTCAGTATGACTGGCATTTCAGTATGAGGTGTGCAGGTCACTCTGCGTCCCCTGGAGGGGTGTGCAGATTATTCCAGACCGTCAGCAAACACCAGCCCCTGTCTGTGGGCAATAATACGGGTCTGTCTCCAGGACACTAAGGATGGAAATTCTGGACTCTGTTCCTGGTGTAAACATACTGCTGCCCTTGGCATCATGGATTCAGTCTGTGGGGCCAGAGGGGCCGTTTCAGAAGGGAGCCTGTGTTTTTGGCTAAATCCAAAGCTGGTGGTGGTGCTGGGGTCCCCTGCACTGTTGAGGGGGCTGTCTGAGCCCCAGGCCTGTCAGCTACTTCCAAGCAAGTTTCTTTCAAATAAAATGTTCATTTGCAAAACTTTGTAGATTTCAGGGATACATCTTCACCTCCATGTGTGTATATGCCTCACCCCCATCCCCAGTGCTAGTTCCCGCCCTCCCTCAGGTTGCCACCCTCTGCCTTCCCTCCCCACACCCCCCAACTCCTGCTCTGGTGACCACTCTACTTTCTTGGAGTCTGAGTTATTTTTGTTGTGATTTGTTAGATCGTTTGCCTGAGCACGTTTCATCCTTCTCCTTTTGACTGGAGGGAAATGGAGTCTAAACAGTCACATCATTCTCACCAGAGAAATAACTCAGGGGCCTGAGGTATGTGGAGGATACCTGAGTGCCCCCCACTGCCCATCCCTCCCACACAGTGGGACCACAAACCTGGGGTTGATGAGGCTGGGGGACGGAGGGGTGACGTCAGGACGAGACCTCTTCACTGAAATGCTGCTGGCCTGGGAAAGGCAGGAGCAAAGAGTAGGGCTTGACTGGGGCTCAGCCCAAGTTCCCCGAGGCAGACGGGCTTCGGAGGGTGCTGGGAACACTGGCCAACCTTGCCCACCATGCACGGAACCCAATCTATAAGGGATGCATCCTGGGGCTCAGGTCTAAAGTGATGGTGGGGTGGAGGCTGATGGCCCAGTCCTGCCTTGGGAGAGAGTTTGCCCTTGGGGGGAGTCGCTCGGGACTCCTCTGGGCCAGGGTAGCTGGGATGGCAGAGGTAGGGAAAATGAAGATGGATGGGCAGGAAGCAATGGATCGGGAGATGGATCTTTCTGGAGAAGTGGCCTGTGGCTAGCCAGGGCTGTCTGCCCAAGGACTTCTTCAGAAAGGTACACCCCTTATACTTTGCTTTTGCAACTTTGGTGTCAAGGTCCCAGCACTGGTACCCATATCCTCTGGGTGACAGGCAGCACCTATGGGCTTGGGTCCCTGGAAAACAAAGCCCAAGGGCCTTAGAGTGAGATGTCCGATTCTGAGGCAGTAGTTCTCAAGCTTTGGTCTCGGGACACACTTGATATTCTCAAAAATTATTGTGAGCACCAAGAAAATTTCATGTGGGTAATCTTAACAGCTAACACCATAGAAATGAAAATATTTACTTACTCAATCATTGCAAAAGTAAATCAATCCATTCCATGTGGACATAAAATCATTTTCATGAAAAAAGAATGTATTTTCCAAATGATAAATAACGACAAGCTGACATTGCTTTCTGTTTTTGAAAATCTAATTTTTATTTTTACCCCATTTTAAACAGTTGGAGGCTTCTAGGTGCTTCTGTAGTTAATCTGTGGCCCTTAGACCTCTACATTTGTCAGTTTGTTTTTGAGCATAAGGCCTTCTCCACCAAGAAGACGGAAGCTGTGCCTTCATAATATATTTTGAGTCAGGAGGTACTTGTCAGCTTTGTGTCTAGAAATAAGCCCAAAC